AGATAGAAGACCTTCTTTTTGTGAAGGATTTATTTACCTGCCTGTCTTTTCAACCTACAAAGCTGTGAATAAAATAGATGCATTGCATAGACAGGTTTGCAGGTATATTTGGCAGTGGGTAGATGATAATTTTTTGAACCATGTAACTAGGTAAACTCATGCTCGTACTTTGCGGAACAAGCTCGGGCAGTTATATGCTCATAGAATTGGTAATAACAAGTTGTTCTTGATTAAAAAGATGATCCACCTTAAGTACCATGATGAAAATCCTATCACTGATCATTTGAATGTATTTCAGGGAATTATTAGTAAGCTTGTAGGAATGAGTATCAAGTTTGAAGATGAAATTCTAGGCCTATTAATCCTTGGTACTCTATCGGATTCTTGGGAGACTTTTAGGACATTATTGTCCAACTCTGCACTCGATGGTGTTATTTCCATGGAATTTGCTAAAGGCAATATTCTAATTGAAGAGATGAGAATAAAGCACAAGGTTCCTCTTTATACTAAAATGTCTTGGTCACATAAAGGTGGGGGAGAAGTCAGAGTAGAGGTCCGAGTAATATAATCATTGGGCGAATTCAAAAGGAAAGTCTGTTGATTTTAGGTGCTGTCATTATGGTAGAAAAGGGCACATGGTATGGTTCTGTGAAAAATTGAAAAAGGAGAACAAAATAGGCATCCACAACAATCTTAAGAAAAATGGTAGTGGTAGTGACAATGCTGAAGTTAAATCACCATTGAGGAGTTCTTTCTTTGTTGTGATAATGATATGGTCAATCTTGCACATGATGACTCGAGTTAAGTTGTCGACATTGGTGCTTCGGGTCATGTTACATCACGAAGAGACTTTTATTCATTTTACACTCCATGTGATTATGGTATTGTTAAGATGAGTAATAATGATCTTACAAAGATTGTTGGAATTGGCGATGTATGTTTGAAATATAACACTAGGATGGAATTGGTTTTGCGAAGTGTAAAACATGTCCCAAATATGAGACTTAATGTGATTTTTATAGGCTTACTCAATGATGATGATGGTTAACAACAACTTTGGTAATGATTTGTGGAAACTCACTCGTGGTTCCTTGATTGTGGCAAGAGGTAAGAAATTCCCAAAGTTATATGTGACACATCCGATGATCTCCAACAACATCATTCACGTTGTGGAGAATATTAACATGACATATTGTGGCATAAGAACATAAGTAAAAAAGGATATCTCTTTTTGTCAAAGAGAAATGCGTTAAATGGTGTCCACAATATTCATTTGAAGACGTGTTCTCATTGTTTGGCAGGAACATACTAGAGTTACTTTCAAAAGCCAACCTCCTTCCCGAAAGGAGAATATACTTGATTTGGTGCATTCCGATGTTTGTGGTCCTATGGAGACTAGGACACTTGGTGGTTGCTCATATTTTGTCACATTCATCGACGATCACTTAAGGAAGGTAAATCTAAAGATAAAATATTATATGTGTTTAAGCAGTTTCATGTCTTAGTAAAGAGATAAACAGGGAAAAAGCTTAAGTGTATTCGAACATATAATGGAGGTGAATACATTGGCCCTTTTGATTCTTATCGTAGAGAACATGGTATTTGGCAACAAAAGACTCCTCCAAAGACACCACAATTGAATGGTTTATCAGAGAGGATGAATAAAACATTGGTTGACCAAGACAAATGTTTGTTCTCACATGTAGGGTTATTGAGTTCCTTTTAGGATCATGCTTTGAATATGATGTTGCATGTTGTTAATCTAGCTCCTTGTGTTCCTTTGCATTGTAATGTTCCGAACAGGGTTTGGAGCAGAAAAGACGTTTCGTATCGACACTTATGGGTCTTTGGATGCAAGGTTTTTGTGCAAATTCCTAAAGATGAAAGGTGAAATCTTGATGTGAAGATAAGCCATGTGTGTTCCTTGGTTATGGCCAAGATGAGTTTTGTTAGAGACTATATGATCCGGTTCAGAAGACACTTGTTCGAAGCCGAGATGTTTTTATGGAAGATAAGACTTTGAAAGATGTTGAGAAGGAAGAGACGATTCCTCAAAATAATGAAGATCTTACTGATTTAGATCTAGTTCCTCCTAAGAATGTTGACATACATGATGGAGATGGTGTTCAGAATGATGAACCAGATGTTCCAGAGCAAATTGAGATGGATACATTCATCCAGAGTTACTAATTGTATGCCATCATCTATCCCACCTAGGGAGTCTACAAGAGATCATCATCCTTCTACACAATACTCTGCAGATTAGTATGTCTTACTTACTGATGGGGAGAGAGCCCGAGTGTTATGCTGAAGCGATTAAAGATAAGCATAAAAAAGAGTGGGCCGAAGCCATGCACGATGATATGACTTCCTTGCATGAGAATAATACCTTTGAGTTTGTAAAGTTTCCTAAAAGAAAAGAGCTTTGAAGAACTAGTGGGTCTACAAATTGAAGACATAAGGACATACTTCACGACCTAGGTACAATGCTAGATTGGTGGTCAAAGGCTTTAGTCAAAGATAACATATCGACTTTGATGAGATTTGCTATTTGGTAGTGATGATAGGATCTATTTGTGTGGTTCTTGGATTAGCAGCTAGCCTTGATCTTGAGGTTGAGAAATTGGATGTCAAGACAACTTTCCTTCATGGTGATTTGGACAAGGAAATCTATATGAAGCAACTTGAAGGCTTTCAGGTTAACGACAAATAAGATTATGTGTATAGACTTCAAAAAATCCTATATGGTTTGAAGCAAGCATCGAGACAATGTTACAAGAAATTTGAGTCTGTTATGGGGAAGCACAACTAAAAAAAGACATCTTTAGATCATTGTTTTTTCTTTAAGAGGTTTGGGGATGATGATTTCATCATTTTGTTGCTATATGTTGATGACATGTTGATCTTTGGCAGGAATATGCAAAGAATTGTCAAATTGGAGCAGCAGTTGAGCGAGTCTTTACAATGTAATATTTGGGGCCCACAAAACAGGATTCTTGGCATACGAATCACCCGAACTAGTGCAGCCAAGAAGTTTCACATGTCATAGGAGAAATACATTGAGAAAGTGCTTTGTAGATTCAACATGGATAAAGCTAAAGTGGTCAGTTCACCCCTAGCTACCAACTTTAAGCTAATTGATAAAGATTGCGCTTCTTCAAAGAACACAGTTGAAAAAATAGTTAAAGTTCCGTATGCATCGGTCGTTCGGAGTCTGATGTATGCGATGGTATGCATAATGCCTGATATAGCCCATGCGGTAGGTGCTTTTATTCTGGTTCTGTCAAATGAAGGTAAGAAGCATTGGGAAGCTGTTAAATGGATTCTCCAATATCTATGAGGTACTTCCAAATTGGGTATAACACTTTGGGAATGAAAAAACAATGCTTGTTGGGTATACTAATTCTGATATGACATGAAAATATGGACAACATGAGATCCAGTTTTGGATATTTGATGACCTTTGTAGGGCGAGCAACACATATATATCTACGATCATTTGTTAACCCAAAAAACAGTGTTAACTATACTAACTTCATAAACTAATCAAAAGACCTTTAAATTTAATGTTTCATATCTCTGTTTGTAGTTAATGTTGAGGGTATGTTAGTAATTTTCCTTTTTGGTCTTGATGAAACATATTTAATTGAGTGTTACAAAAAGATTAATGTTCCATGATTTTAGCCATTTTCCTTTTTGGTCTTGATTGAAACAAATTTAATTGACCGCTACAACCAAGCAATTTCATAAAAACATGTTTTCATAACAATATAATGAAATAATGCATGTGTTCATGAGTGAACCATAATATGTTCATATGTGTAGATTGTGCATAACTAAATTTGCATACATAAATCATTTGTTGAGAGTTGACGCAATGATTAATGTTCAGTATAGACTCAAACCACAACATTGTTCATTGAGATGTTCACCAATTAATGAACCATAGCTCACTATCTCCATTAAAACTAATGTATATATAGGTAGACCATGAATACTTTTGTCAAGAACCATGAACCATGAGTAGATATGAACCATGAACATTTGTTCACTCATGAATGGTCTTTCAAACATGAATTGACATAAGCACGTTCATAAAAACTTGTTGATATAACACTTATATTAATTTAAGCATGTGTTCATGAGTGAACACATTGAATCTTATATCATTAAAATCTTTTTCCAAAATACCCCTTGTAAACATTATTCACTTACCAAAGAGCCTTTGGCCTAGCGGTATTGTAGTCATTGTTCTTTTAGGAGGTCAGTGAGTTCAAATCTCACCAAAGGTGAGGAGGTATGCGAGTTTATTTGTTGCATTTGTCTATATAGTTATTATATACTTCAAAAAGAAAAAACATTATTCACTTATGTTATCTTACCATGAATGATCTCAACCACAAATTTCAAAGATCAATAGATGCGACACCATATATTGGGTTAACAAATAAACTCATCCTATATATATATATATATATAGAGAGAGAGAGAGAGAGAGGTTTAGAGAAAAATCTCAAATAAATGAAAAACTAAAAATCACATTATCAACCGTTAAATTAGATGATATAATAGATGTGATTAACTTGGCGGTTACAACAATATTTTTTAATTAAAAAATCTCCCACCCCTATTTTTATTTGAAAAAGGACGAAAAATAAACAAAATTCGAGCAAAATAAATTACACCAAAAAAACGATCACAATTTTCTCGTTAATTTGACGTCCATATTGATATGTTTTTCCGTCCGTTATTTCATGGCTTTTCGGTTTTCCATTTATTTAGCATTTTCCCGTGAACTGTGTAATGCTACCGGTTCCTTACTTTGAAAATGGGTTGCATAACTTACAGAATGTACAATGCTACTTGATTCCTTAGTTTGAGACGGGGTTCCGAAACACAAAAAAAGTATAATGCTACCCGAGTTCCTTGTATAAAAGCTCGATTCGGTAGCTAATAGTACTCCATTGTTCAACTCCCTGTTGTGAACCGGTTTGATCACTTTACATTTTGTAGTGGTGAGGGACTATCCCTCCTAGGAATGATGTAAACAAGGCTAATGCACGCCGAGGTTGGAAGCTTGGAACTGAATGGCCTGCACCCCTAACAGTTATTAGAAGCAGTCCTTTGTATGCCTCCAGATACCCTCCAACCTGTTAACATGATTTCATGTTAGTAATCGAACAAGCTCGTTTAGCAACACATATGATAATCGAAGGAGGTTGTTGGAAATAAAAATAGAGGTGTAAACGGGTCAGATGTGCATATGGTGTGAAACTGTGAATTTACATGTTGGACAATTTAGTAAAAGTTAGATCATGTATTATATTCTCTGATGCATACAGGAATTACTTAAGACAAATATGAATTCAGAAGATACGTAGATTGTCAGATATCTGCTATGATTCAGACAACATCCTTTGAAACAGAGCTTACATCATGAATTAACAATTAGAGATGGAAAACATAGTGTTAGTGATGGATTTTCACGTTGCAGAACTTCTTTTTTGGTTAATCAAGAAAGTTCAGTGCTCACCTCCTCGTTGAGGTACCATGGCCGCCAAGCTGTCTCGATCAGAAGATTGAGGGTGTTGATTGCATACCTAGAAGAAGTAATTGGAACCCGAGCATCCGTATCCCCACTGCAAAATCAAGGATTAAACCGATCATGAATTACTCGTCGTTTTGAATTTCCATGCATAGAATTAATCTAGAGTCATCCCAAGTGTTTGTGATGCTTCGATTTCACATTTCTGATTGATGTGGTTTAGAGTTAAACCCTTGCCTGAATACCCATAGCCGTTGGCCGTTATCAATCAGATACTTGATTATGGGCAGGATGCTAACCGCACTGTCATTCCATATCGAGATATATTCCCTGCACATGGTATCAACAGTTTTTTACCAGTTATTAGCTAATCATAACATGGTTCATTTTAGTCTACATGCATGACTGATCTAGGATTACCTGCATATATCCCATGATGTAGGTCTCGCATGAAATGCCTCTTGCACAGCTGAGTCATTGAGATAGGATACAAGGATATCTTGCCAGCATGGATCAAAAAAGTCAATCTGAAAGATAGAGAACAAAACAATGATTAGTTTGAGGTTCTAGTTACTAGAATTCGGGGTAGTGTGTATAGAACACTTACAGAACCAGTGGCAGAGGTATTTCTTTGTTCATGGTTCAAGCAAATCGGCGCATAGATATTATATACATTGACCTCTCCCATCTCATCCCATGCTTTGCTTGTACTATCATGGCACATGCCAGTTGAAGAATCGTTCACAAAGTTGCAATATTTGAAGATGGCATCATGAGTCGCATCTGAATTTATAGCATGACTCCACCAGTAATCGTACATCCCTTTCATACATGTTTCATCATCGATCCACGCATTTCCTATCTGCAGATTTTACACGGACATTAATTTTTATCGATAACAGAATAAACACTAGCCATTTGTAAATCTGGTCCGAGAATCGGACTATTATCTCGTGTTTAGGAAGTGTAACGTCAATGATGTGAACATACAGCAATCCCTTTGATATTGATGACAGTCTGCTTTGTATTCTTGTTCTTTCGAAGGATGGTATAAGCAAGTTGAGGTACATAATGTCCGGCATAGCTTTCACCGGCAATGTAAAAATCATGAGTTTTGTACTGAGGGAATCTCTCGAGCCAGTTAATAATAAAAGTGTAAGCATCATCCGCAGTCTTCTTGTCACCAGGATGGTCATAATCAGAAGTTGTATTCGAATACGAGAAACCAACTCCAGCTGGGGACTCCAGAAACAGCATATTTGCAACTGCACATTGTGTTTATGTGTTTATGACCAGTATATACTACGCTCGAGAGTAAAAATGTTTGATTTAATATCTAACCATTGCTCCACGCATAACTGTTCCTGAAGAGAGTTTTGGCATCACTATTGATTCTGAATGGTCCTAGTTCTCCCATGGCTCCAAACATGGAAGAACATCCTGGTCCTGTTGAGCATTATGAATGTATTTAATAGAATATAGTGAAACAAAGTCGAAAAATGTCTGTAATTGATTCAACTCCTGCTGTTATTTCTAGTCAATCTGGAGCCAGCTAGAAACAGGACGGACCATGAAATTTTTTCAAACGGTGGTACCATTCGACTATAAGAAACAAATAAAAAGGGAAAAAACTTCAAATGATGGCACTATTTGACTGTAATAAACAATATAGAGAAAATTTCAAACACTGACACCATTTGACTTAGAAAATGACACTAACAGGTACGAACTCAGGTCTAGCGTGGAAGAAAAGCCTTGCAAACGAAAAAAACTTGTTCTCATTATAGTTTCAAAATACATATGACGGCTTAGTTGAAAAGGCTTGGGGCCAAATATGCTTTGTTTGCTACTTCATAGCTGATAACAACACAACAAATAATAAGAACATGCAAAAGTACCTCCATTTAGCCACAAAACCAATGGTTTGGTTGAAGAATCAGTAGGAGACTCCACGAAATAATAGAAAAGAGCCCTGCCAGCCTTTGGATCGACAGTGACATATCCTGAATACTGATCAAAATCAACACCTGCAGGTTGGCCTGGCAATGTCAAGATCTTGTCGAGCTGTGCCAAACCCTCTTGAGCTCCAATGTGAACTGGAGAGTCCTCATCAGTAGTATCATCTAAAACAGACCATGGATCATAACCAGGTGAGTCTCTAGAGTGCTTTTCTTTTACCAAATTGTAAAGCTTGCGTGCGTGAATGTCGGCATTGCTTAAACCAAACAAGGCCAAAACGCAAAATGCTGCCATAACTTTTATCATCTTGAACTGCTTCAATATATAGTACACGAGCCGTTTAAGTCCAAGTGACTGTTTATCTCGTCCTGATCAGAGATTTTGAAATAGGCTTTAACATAATCTTTAAATATCTAAGAAGCCAGTCATATTCGAAAATGTCTTCTCGGATTTGACGCATTAATATTCATTAAAATGATGATTTGGACACTTTTATGCTTGTCATATGTGGGGAATTGTCTGGCTCACATCATGTGAAAATCGTAGATTGTGTTTTTCTGATTTCTCAGCTCTTGATGTCTGTTTCTGCAAAATATTCAGCAACTCAAACTAATTAATTAAAATCTGCATTTCTAAAAGAAGAAACTAAGTCATGCTTTCTAAAAGAAAAATCTACTAAAAATATATCTAGACATGGCATAAACTTAACCAAAGGTTATTACAAATTAGCCAAAGCATCGATTAGATAACACGTTGTAATAACGAAAATCTAATATAAACTAGGATTAATCAACGATCTGTCATACGCTATATACAGAAAACCTAACAAAAATCTATGAAAATACTAAGAGAATAATCAATGATCTAGCATTTCATTCAGGGAATCAACAAGCAGAATAGCATACATGAAAGACATGCAAATTTTCAACAACACAACATAAAAACACAGATTCATATCTTGAAAAATGAATTAAAATCCGGAACTCATTGAAATCTAGTGAAAATCAATTCAATCAATGTAGTAATAACATAAACATAAATCCAACAAATTCTTCCCAATCATGATATAGAATTACAAATGGAAGGATTAATGAAATAATATATATTTTAATGATAAAATTTCGTAGGAATTTGTATGAAATAAGTAAATAAAATGCAAAGATATATAAGGATAGGAATACGTACTCTAGGTTGAAGCTCAAATCCAAATTCAGAAAATCTTCATTGAATCTTCAATGTTTACCCAGGAGAATTAATCCAAAAAGAGAAATGGAGAAATTAAAGGAGATAATTTATCCATCTAAAAATAAGAAAGAATAATATGATCAATACGGTAAAAAAAACGCTTGTCCAATTTAATCCTGATTGATCCAATAGATTATCTATAGTCTTGTAAAATTCATGTAAATAAAGTGTCTCGAGGACTAGGTTCAAATCCAAGAAGGGACAAAAATCCCCTTGCTGTTCAAATGCGGTGACTCCGGGCTACCTGCAAAACAGAGCAGGTGGTCGACTTGGGATTAGTTGGCTCGCATAGCGGGTTGGATATCCAGGTTAATAAAAAAATCATGTGAATTTCCCAAATTACCCTCCTTAATTAATTAACAACCGAATTCTTTTACCAGCATGAGGAATTGTGCCTTGATAAAATTCTCTACCGATCGATCTTGCACTTACGGTCATGCTCTTTGTTACTTTTTCATGTCAATGATCTTCAAGAAATTTGACTCCTAATGTTAGACGATCGTGTTGCCTTCCTTGCTTTACTTTGGTGCGACATATTGTGAAGTTTGCAGGGGGTTTTCTTTACTTCCTTGCCTTGTTCTTCTCTTTGTTTCCAATACCTTCTTGGCCACCTCTTCCTTTGCACAAATCCATCCACATTTTGTTTCCAGATTTCTCCATGAATTACCTGTAAAAGCCCATAAAAAAGACCTAAACAAACTCCAACAAGTTGATCAAAAGCAAATCTGACTACAATTAAGCAAAATGCATGACAACAGAAATAACAATTTTACACGCCCTTTTTTCACACGGTTGTTAAAAAACCATGTAAAAAAACTACGTGGATTTTTAGAAAACTTCTTATACTATTTTTTGGTGGATGAACTGTGTAAAAATATATATGTACCTTTTTACATTGAACCGTGTAAAAAACTGAAACCGTTTAAAGAAGTACGGATACCGTTTTACACTGTTCATTCACCAAGAAAACCCACTACTAGAAAACAAGTTATTAGCGACGAAAATCTGCGAGGGAAAAAACTCTTAACTGTTATGTAAATAAAACATACATATTATTATATTCAACTGTCATGTAAATAAAATGATTAGTAAAATTTTACATTTAGGAAAAATATAAAAGACGAAAATAAAAAAGAACTCTAAAATCTCAATTGAAAAAAAAATAACAATTGAAAAAGAACATATTGAATTTTGTTGAAGTTATATCATAAATTTTCTAATACATACATTCAAAATTCAATTATCGAACCGTTGTTATATCAAAACTCTATAACCACTGTCAAGAACAAACCCTCAATTCCATTAATAAAAACTTAACAAAAATATAGAAGACAAAAGTAAAAAAAAAAAACTTTAAAATCCCAACAAAAATCAAGAATAATACCTAAAATGGTATTCTCATATATAGTAAACCTGAAAAACGATCTTGTTGAATGATTAGAGTTTTTAAAACGAAAGAAAAAATTAAATGATGGAGAGAGAAAATAAAGGATTACCTGAAAAAAGATTTTGTTGAACAATAATTAAGTGTTTGTAAATGAATAATAGATCAAGTGATAGAGATGAATAATAATACCTAAATTAGTATTATGATAATAAACTTGAAAAACAATCTTGTTGAATAATAACAGTTTATAAAATGAAAGAAGAAATCAAGTGATGAAGAGAGCGAATAAAGTTTACCTGAATTTTTTTTGTTGTTGAATAGTAATGATTTGTCAAATGAAGAATACATCAAATGATGAAGAGGAAAAAAAAAGAGATTTATTAATGAACAAATCATAGATGAGCACATGGAAAGGCTTGGAGGTTTCACCTCCAGAATTAAGATGAAAAAGTTTGAGGCTAAACTTAATAAAATTAACAAAACAACTTTATCCTAATGAATTTCATGTTTTTAAATATAAAGATGGAAAAGTCTTTTACATATAAAAATATTTTAAAAAATCGAAAATCTAAGAAAAGGGAAAAATAGACTTCTAATATTTAGATGATGACACCTCATTATGTTTGGTTTCTCATTTAAACAAAAGAAAAAGCTTCAAAATCTCAACAAAACTCAAAAGTAATGCATACATGTATTAGTTTTCTTAAAGTATACTTGAAAAAAAATAATCATTAAAAAACAAACATGTTGAAGAACATTATCGAGACTATTGTAATACTCATCATTGGACCATTGTTGTCATAAGGTCCCATTATACATACCATTGTTGCCATCAAAACTCTGAAAACTTTGTCAAGAACAAACTATTGGTTTCATTGAGAAAATTTTAAGAAAATTATAGAAAAGAAAAGTAAAAAAAAAAAACTTTAAAATTCCAACAAAAATCAAAAGGTATGCATACCCAAATTAATTTTCTCTCTCTCTCTCTCTCTCTATATATATATATATATAGGGGCCTAATCAAATGAGAACTAATTAGTTTGTGGTAACTGTGAGAACCAATATTAACCACAAATCAAAAGATAAATTAGGAAATTTATAATTTTGGCAATTTTGAATTAAAATATTAATGCAAGGATATTTTTTGTATTTTAAAACTTTCCTCCCTCCTCTCTTCTCTCTCCGGCCACCGTCATCCGGTGATACTACAATGGTATCACAATGCATCATATATGTGCTTGGGTATCACATTGATGTCGTTTGTGTGGTCGATCAAAGATGTAACACAGTGGTATCACTATGCATCTTATATATGATTAGATATCACAATGTATCTTTTGTTTAACATAGTCAATATTTTTAGGTATTACAGTGATATCATAGTGGTATCATCGGAGGACGGTGGACGGAGGCCGGAGAACGGTGGCCGGAGAGAGAAGAGATGAGAGAGGAGAGTTTTAAAATAACAAAAATATCCTTGCATTAAGATTTTAATTTAGAATTACCAAATTTATAAATTTCCTAATTTATCTATTGATTTGTGGTTAATATTGGTTCTCACAGTTACCACAAACAACTCAGTTCTCCCTTGAATAGGACCCTATATATATATATATATATTAAAGGAAGACCATTTTTGCCATCAAAACTCTGAAAGAGTTGTCAAGAACAAATTATTGGTTTCATTGAGGAAAACTTAAGAAAATTATAGAAGAGAAAAGCTAAAAAAACTCTAAAATCCCAACAAAAATCAAAAGGAATGCATAACCGAATTAGTCTCATAGAAATAAGCTTGAAAATGAATTTGTTGAAAAATAATGGTTTATGAAATGAAAAACAAATCAAATGATGTAGATAAAGAAAAAGAGATTGAACGATAAACAATTCTTGAGAAAGAAAATGAAATGATTGGAACATGAATAAGAGTTCAGGAAAATGAAAAGATGATGTTAATGCAAACATAAATGAATAATCAATGTTATAGGGATTAAAATGTGAAATTAGGAAAAAAGACTAAAATGAGGTTGAATAAGAAAAAAAAGATAAATGAATTTTTTAGGTGTTTGGAAAAACCTAGTCATCAACCTTAGTTATTCCTTTAATATAAAACCAAGTCATCAACCTTGGTTCTTCTTTTAATATTATATATATATATATATATATATA